TGCCCCCCCCCCCCCACCAGTCCGACCGTTTCACGTACCGCCACTCCCATTTTTCCACAGATGTGCATATCAATCTGAGCCTGTTTGACCCAAGTCTGCCACCGGCAGATCCCGAAAACGCAGGTGTCGACCCAAGCACATGGCACTGGCTATTTCCTCACCCGGCTTACTTACTCCGACCGTATCGTGCTCCTCTACGACCCGGGCCGGATTTAGAATTGCCCGAGACTAATGAGGAACTGGATCTGGAATTACACAAACAGGAATCGTTGTTGTATCATTTACACGAGCAGATTGGTCAAGGTGATACTAGCGCAGAAAAGGAGGCACTCCTATGGGAAGTAAGTTTGAATACGCGTTCGTACGTACATGGTCGCTATCATGACGGTCGCTGGTGAGTAACACCAAAGAAATCTATGATTGATTTTTCCACTGGTCGTTTTTTCTAGGGAATGGTACTGTTCTGATATGATCTAAGGGCTTTTCGCCATCTCATCTTTCCACCAATCGGGATTATTTTCTCTTCTCATTAGAACGAGAATAAAATCTTATGGAGCGTAGTATAATGGAAAGGCTTATGAAGGTTTAGTAACCGTCACTCTACATAGTACTGGCTTTCTTTTGGGTTCGAGCTCTAGGAGTACTTTTGCACTTTTCTGGCTACCTTATTATCCATTTTACACTATGTGTAATCGCTGACCGATAGAAATTCATCATGTAAACGTTTTACTCGTGTTGCGAACATGCTGAAAAGTAAATGTGCTTTACCCGCCAGTGGAGATACTATAGAAATCTGGAGGCGTATGGAACTCCCGTCGAGGGGCGTAACTAAATGCATCATAATGTTCAATGTTGTTACGGTTCTGCTCATGGCTTTTAGTTGATCACCCTACTCTGTCTGTTAATTATCTTTATCCACAGGTTCAACGCCTTGTAACAGAAATCCGTCGAAGAAAGCAACTCGTGGATCCAGATGCCATCCGTGCCGAGTTGTCCCGCCAACAGGCTCAGTTGGATCGGTTACACCGAGCTATCGCACAAAACTCTTCCGAAACGAGCGCTGAACTCACAGGCTCCGGCACCCAAACTGACGGATCACAACCGGCCGGCAATGTATGCGGTTCAGACTCGGCACCAACCCATCGACGCCGGTACGTCTATCTGTTTCGCAGCAGCACTCTTACAGTAATTGCTTATTATTATTTATATAACATAAATTACAATGCGTGAAGAACTATATTCAATTCTTGTCTTAAATTTCATCTTTTCTTTTCCTCCTTCACTTCCTCTTATTGGATATACAATGGTGCAATTTTCGGGTAGGAGGAAGAGGCTAATTAAAGGGCTGCCGTACAACACACAATGGAGACTCAGGTGGTGGTGGTGGGATTCGAACACACGTCCTCCGGTGTGATCATTTAGTGACGTTACCACCGGGCCACCTCCACCCGGTCATCTCTCTGTGAGATGTTGATCGCTTTCGGCGTGTTATTTTAATCGCTAGACTAGCGATTGCCCATAACTTATCTTCTTTTATCTATTGCGTGCAAACGTCGAATCTCTCGTGATAGCCAGTAGAAAGAGGGAATCCCAATGTTTTGGAGATAGCGTACTTATAAAAATCAGATAATGTTAGCCCAGAACATGGAGTGAAGAAATCCTCAACACCCTATTAAGGCTAGCTGAGTGAGCGTTCGAGGGATCTGAGAACTGTAGATTTTTTTTCTACTGTGCCAAGGTCAACGGAGGAAATGCCCTACTCACTATCTTCTCATGGCGGAGGTGTTTTCTCACCGAAGTGCGAGGATGAGAAGCCAATATCTGGGGCAATAAACGAGTCGGTGAACCCTTGGCAGTTCGCTTAATGGAGTTGGACAAAAACCCTGATTGCAAACCATCTAGGAGGAGGTATGCGAGCCACCACAGACACACCTCAGTTGTGACAGTGATCATCCGAATCGAGGTATATTGGGCACCTTGGACGTTTGAATTCGTCCGAAGGGCCTATAATTCGATGAAATGGTCACCGGCTCGCGATGGATTGCGGTTTTCATGCATCACCCTGCTACCTTGCGGATCATGTTTTGGCTAGTCGAAGGCTCGGGTTGTGAAATCCCTAGGACAATTCACCTGCCTTGGCCTGGGCAACCTGGAAGTATTCCACCCACAATCAGCTCATAGAACTCTCTCTTTTTATAATTTGTTTGGCACACTGTCTGATCTCAGACGTGTGTGAAATACATACAGCGCACACAAGGGGATACTCCTGTCATTTCACTAGTAGTATGCAGTCTACGTCAGTAAAAATGCCTGTGGACAAAAGAATATTCTTGAGATATGCTCATTTATCCGTGTAGACCGAATGCTAGTGAAATAGGTGTAACCCAGCTTTATCTGTCAGCACACAGTGCTGGTTTAACCTTAAATAATGAAGCTCATTCGCTCTTAATGGGGGGAGTCCAGTAAAACCAATGTGCTTGCTACGACGTACTGTCTATCCTCCACAAATTTACCAAGTCTGGAATTATGAACTACAAAGTTCTTTTTGCGTTGGTACGAGCCACCTGACAGTATTCCGCCAATTTGCGAATCATGGATACATTTATTTGTTATAAAGGTGATTCGTTTGGCGCGNGTATGAAGTATGATCTAATGTATAATTTTTACATCATTCTTGTTCCTTCCGTCATTGGCAGTCCTGCAGGGTCGGCCAAATCTCGTGCGGAACCGGTCTCGCTGTATTCCGACGAACTATGGGAAGTGCAGCGCCAAGTCACGATGCTTAAACGGCGTTTGAAACAGCAGGAAAAATTGGCCAATACTGGTAGTGGCCATACAAGCCAACAAACTGGTGTTCCCGCAATTGCTGTTCCGAGTTCAAACTTATCTGTGTCACGCTCAGATGTGCTCGTGCATCCGGTTGGAGGTGTGCCTCTTATCATCCCCACATTGTCCGAACTGGATGAAGAAGAGGTTCTGAATCTCACTCTGCGGTGAGTATCGTAGAGTCTGTTTGTTGCTTTTCGGCCCTTAGCAACAGCTGCATCGTCGTTGTTCTTTCTTCATCATCATCATGTTACGGCAAACTGCAGTGAAATGAGTTTCACTGATCGCTACCAAACTCGCAGTGCATACATAGTTACTGAGAATATGCATGGTGAATTATGCCTATTTTGGAGGAGGAGAAAAGAAACTGAACCTCAATAGTTAACACATAGAGTACACAATCGAAGTGTCTATGCATACCCTTGCAAGTATTCAGACCTAATAAGAAATGACGGCCAGAAGGTCTCACAATTTTACTTCACGGAAAATGTGATTGCTCGTTTGTCACCGCTAGCTTGTATGGATCTTTTCGAATCTCTGCTGTTGATGAATTCATTTGTTTGATCTCGTGCATAAAGCCATTGACATTCCCCCCTTTTTTCAAACAGGAAATTGCCCTTGGATATTCCCTCATCCGGTAAGTTGTTTGAATTGACCTACTACGCTTTCAGATGTCACTTCCGATGCAGCTATTCCAGTGGTACTTTCATCTGTGCCACCGTGTCCTGTTCCGACAAGTCCAACTACAACAATGGCAACAACAACATCGGTGACGGAGGTAACTCATTCGCCGGATATCGAACCGGATGTAACTGAAGCAGTCAAGGACACATTGACTGAAGTCGACGTTTCGGTCGCACCGGTTGATGGGAAAACAGTTGGCGATCAGGCGAGTTGCGCAATTGGTTCAGATTTTTCACCGCCTTCTGATCCGCCTCCACCACCACCGCTGCCGCATATCAGCGAGCCGATTGAGGAACTCTCTCTAGAGGTATGTGTTTCTCAAAGATATCTTGTCTTCAGTTTATTTATGCATTAGCCATGCAATTTCACAAGTTTATCTGTCAAGATGAAATACGGTAAACTTGGTAGGGTGTTATGCGTTTAGTCGGGACTTCCAATGTTTCATACAGTCAATCTCCTGCTACATCGCACCCCTCGGGAATTCGAAAAAGTGGGTAAATTTCAGGAACTGCGAAATAGCAGGGTAGACAATAGTAGTTGCTAATAAGTAGTATAAACATCGGTTGACAGTTTTGTGACAAAATAAACCGGATCGATGAAAAGTAGGTTAATCCCGTTAGTTGTTCCCAATAGTTATGATTATAGACTGTTTATTTATAACGAAATTTAAATCTACCGTCCTACGTATCCTGTATGTATCACAGAAATTCAAATATTTTATGACGCCCTTAGCCTATTATCGATACATTGCATCCGGTATTCAGCCCTTTTCAGTTCTGTGTCTAGTTATCCCGAATATACCTACCTTTCTTGATGGGAACTATTTCTGACCCAATTATCCCGTATTAATTCCACATATTCCTCCATTCCGTTGGAACGTTAGGCTAACCACAGAATTGATTATATGACTTCCACCATAATATACAATTGTTTTACCTATAATAATCACGTCATTTTTTACCCATTCAAGGAAAATAAAAGTGAACCAGTTCGAATACAGTAAGAAGGAAATGACATCTAAAATGAACGGTAACTTCCTTCCCATATTGAAACTGATTGTTCGTCGTGTAATCTATTCATGATTTTCTTTTGAAAAATGTGTGTCATTAACGTCT